TTGGCCCAGCTGAGGGGCCACTGAGTCTGCGCAGTAACCTACCCTGCTCTGCTTCTGGAGGAGACGCTCCAGCTCCTGCTCCTTGGCGCTCAGTTTCTTTTCCAGCTCCCGACTGCGGGCCTGGAACCTCTCCGTGTCCTGCCGAGACAGAAGAGAAGACAGTGGGTCCTACACCCAGCACACCTGGCTTACAGCCATGGAGGTATCCACGGAGGTATCCACTTGAACTCCATCATCTGGGCCAAGTGGACCGGCCACGAATCGTCCTGAAACCCCAGGCTTCAGTGACACACTTACCCCACCACTGAGGACCCATGAGACCAAGCTAGTGCTCAGAGATAACGTAGACAAAGTGCATGTGGCCACATCCTGTGGCAGTGCCTTACCATGCTTTCCCACCCAACACAATGACCTAAGGACAGCCATTGGTGGAATGGGACAGGGAGAAGAGGAGGCCCAGTCTGATTCATTGGCCAACCTTCCATCTATAAATATCGAAGATGACCTCCAACCTGGAGATTCTAGTTCACCCTGAACACTCTCTGGCTCCTTAAACCACACTAGCTCTAGGCACAATGCATTTAAAACTTAGAGAAGGCTGAAATGAGTCAGAGAATTCATACCCTCATACCCGGAAGAGCCTGTGCATGCTATCCAGAGAGATTTATGCAAGTGCCCCCTCCCCATGGGCATTACTCCTGCCTCCTGGAGGATGAGAGTACTCACTGCTCATCCTCCATGACTCAGGGTCCCTGGGCCCCTGGGCCCCTGGGCTGTGTTCCTCCCGATGACTCTGTCCTGCATTCAACACCCACTTGACCTCACACCTCAGACTGGGCTTCTCCACACAGAGTGACTAAGTCCTGAAGGGACGACAGATACCATGTTGTCTGGCTGTCCTGTCCCAGATGGGATGATGGGGTTTCAGAGGCAAAGCATACCCAGAAAAGCCAGGTCAGTAGAAGGCTTCGAGGCTTTGAATCAGAAAACTTGGGTTTGAGTCCCTGCACTGTTCATCTTACTTGCTTCGTGTTTCTGGATTTCAGCAGAATAGAAGCCAATAGCCCTTTGCTTCCAGCACCGCCCCACCTATGTCCACCTATGGCAAGGTAGGGGCAAGCTATTGAATAAACTGAAAACACACACACACACACACTCACACACACACACACACACACACACACACCAGGAGTTACTGAAGGCCCATGGCAGAGAGATGTCTTTGAGAGGGGCCAGCTATGAGGTGCTACGTTGGATGACTACAGGGGTCCTGGCTACCACATCTGGCAGAAAACAGTTGCTCCTAGCTCACAAGCCTTTGACCACCTTTGCTCAAAGACTCGTGCCTCTTCTGGTGATGTTACCAGCTCCTCTGCTCACGTCCAAACAGATCAATGAGCAGAGGAGATACAGGAGGGCCTGTGCCCATTCTCATCTGAACCATGTGCAATGGCCCCCATGGGGTCCACTCAGTCTCTGCCGTAACCTTTGTTGGAAGAAAATAAGCTGCAAGGAACCTGCAAGGAACCAACTTGGTTTACTCAGCCACTTACTCAGAGCAAGCACCTCATGAAATATGCTGGAACACTAATTGATTTCTGAATCCCATGCTGATGCACCCATTCCCACAGGGTACTTGGAGTACGATATTGCCCATCATTGATGGGCTTCTCCCAGTCTGGAGTGGGTATTTTTCTCATGGTCAAATATACTAATGTGGGTGTAGCCAGCATCCAAAGTCTGGTCAGAGGCTCTGGACTTTTATACGATGTCACAGATGACAGCATCCTTTTCCTAACTCCAGGACCAGTGAAAGTCTGCATCTAAATGTTTAATGGCACTGCCAAAGCCATCCTTGGAGCTTTCATGTCCATGGCAAAAGTTCAAGTGTAAGCACTGAGCTCTCTGGACCTGACCTTTAGAACTGAGAAAGGAGAGGCAGGAAGGGAACAGAGCCAAATCATCTGAAATGATGCTAACTTGTTCTTCATTTCTTTGCTGCAACCTCTGCTTGCTCCCAGCCCCCATGCCGAGCCCACCCTTTGTTTCTGGAAGCATATCTTAGCTAAATCCATGACCTGGGCAGAGGGGACAAAATGTCCTCAGAGCTTGCCTCCTCTGTGCAGCCTGTCACAGGGATGAAGGGGGTGGCTTTCCTATTGCAGAAGTGGGAGTGGGGGGGGGCTGCTGTTGTTGGAAGCTATTTTAGGTCTAATGACAGACGTGTGTGGATTCTGTTTACCACATACACATCCAGTTTCCCCGAACGCTGGAACACTCAGAAGGGCTTAAAGCACCGAAGGACAATAGGAGTGGTCTGGTAATATTGGCAAAACTCCATGGGCTCTGGCCAGATATTTCTGGAAGGCATTCTGATTTTCCTGCAGTGTGAATGGCATCTGTGATTATAAGTGGGGCAGTGGTGTGGATAATCCAAAGCAGTGGAAAATTGAAATCTGGATCAAGTGAAGAGCCTGAGACAATAGCCTGGGCTTAGCGCTAAGAGGCAGCCGAGGCTGTCAGCCAGGACCACAGCCTTTTGCTGAGAACTCATGGAGAGAGGGAGACAGTTGCAGGAGGGAGAACAGAGTTTCCTGGGTTTCTGTTTTGGGTTTTCAAATAGGATGCACCAAACAGATCTTGCTTAGCTTCGGCTTGGTAGAGGAGTGGGCCTTACCAGTCTTCACCTCCAAATATAACAGCAAAGGCTGGAAAGGTGTAGTAACGGGAGTGCACCAGGAAGGGGGTGCGCCAGAACAGGGGTACACTAGGGACAGGGGTATGCCAGGAACATGGGGTGCACTAGGAATAGGAAGCTCTGGGAATAGGAACACATTGAGAACCAGGGGTTCATAAGGAACAGGGTGCATCAGGAATGGGGGTACTCTAGGAACCAGGGTGCCCTAAGAGCAGGGGTATGCCAGGAACAAGGCTGCACAGAACCAGGGCACACTGGGAACAGGGATATACCAGAAACAGGGTACACTAGGAACAGGGGTACACAAAGTATGGGGCACACCAGGAACATGGGGTGCAAGTGTCACGTTTTCTCTCCCGGTGCTGAGGATGGTGATCTTGTTTTTTCTTGGTGATTGTATTTTCTAGTTGTCTAAGAAGAAAGGGTGGGCAGCCTGGTCTCTAATGACTGTGTCCTTTGGGGCTGCGGCTTGGGGAATATAATGGGCTGGTGTGTTTTATTGGGCCTGCTATATAGATACAGGACTCTACTGAGTGACACCTAATGTCCAGGTTGCTTTAGCTGCAAAAGTATGTTCTGTAATCCATCTATCACCCCTTCCTTCCTTCCTTCCTTCCTTCCTTCCTTCCTTCCTTCCTTATTTCCTGCTTGCTCTCCCTTTTGTCTCCTCTCCTATCCACGCACCAACAATCCATCCATTTATCTTTCTTCATCCATCCATCCCTCTCTAACCATCCATCCCTGGCTCCCTCCCTCCTTTTCTCCCTTCTTTTCTGTCAGCTCATCTGCCCCCATGCACTCACCTCCTTACTCACACATTGGTTGAGCAAATACCTATGGGGCATCTCTTATAGTCCGGGCATGCTCTAGAAACTGAGGCTGGATTAGTGAGCAAATGAACTTACACGGTAGTAGGAGCAGACAATGTGGAATAAAACTAAGTAAGCACACTGTATATTTTGCTTGAAGGTGATAACTGGCTTGAACATTACGGCAGAAGAAGACAGTCACAGGAGTGCGCTGGGATCTTAACGGGGAAAGGTGTTCAGAGGGCCAAGCAGCCCCAGGGCCAGGCCAGGAGTGCCACGCTCACCTTTAGGAGGAACTGCTCCCTTTCGCTTTTGATCTGCTGTTCCATCTCCTCATAGAGATGCTGTATTTCTTCGTCATAAGCCGCAATTTTCCTAGAGGTGACAAAAGGAGAAGCTGACAGGGTCCTCCCCAAGATCCACTTACCCTACAGCCATAGTTCCTGGAGATGAGTCCCTGGGGCTGTGGGTGGTTGAGGGACTGCCGACCTCATGCCGGCCCAGGCTTCAGGATTAGTCCTTCAGGGCTGACTAACCAGACAAGGCTGCAGCTCACAGAGGCCAGCTGCTAAATGGTAACTTGGACCCTCTCCTGTCTTCTAGACCACTGCAGGACCACCCATGCACCCCCCAGTGGAGCTGCCCCAGGTCTCTTCCTGGACTCTGCTTTACTCCAGCGCTGAGCCCGGGCCTCCTGCACTATCCCTCGGATGCCTCCTCAGGTAGACAGTCTGAAGCCAGACCCTGTAGGGATTCCTTGCCGCTCAGTGTCTTGGTGGATCCTATTTCCAGTTTGGATGCAGACTCTGCTTCTCTATGTCAATCCTGACACTGTACCAGCAGAGGACCCTTTGAGCTTAAATCCATGCCATTCACAAAGATTTCATGATAACAGTGGCCTGCTGCAAAGGACAGGGCCTTGTGCTATCCCAGGTAAAGGGTCGCAGATGCACAGCAGGAGACAGGTGGCTCTGGTTAATGGCTAATGCGGACACTAAGATGACCTGTTCTTGCTCTGACTCTCAGCATCCTCTCCCCACTCTAGGAGCCCACAGGGTATGAGTAGTGGGATAAGCACATGCCACTGTGCTTGACTTTTTTAAAGTGTGGGTCCTAAGGATGGAACTCAGGTAGGTCCTGGTATTTTCAAGGCAAGCACTTCACCAACAGAGCCCATGGTAACCACCTTTTCATAAGCTTTGTGGTGTGGCTCTTGAGAACCATTTTAATATATAATGTACACACACACACACACACACACACACACAAATTATCACTTGGCACTCTAAACTCCAAGATGGCAAACGCACTCTGACCTTCATGGGTGGGCACACCCATGAAGCAGGAGGAAGCAGCCCTCACTGCCATCTCTAAGAAGTTACTGAGGAGACATCTGAACAAAATTTAAAGCCTCCCATCACTTTACCCACGTCCACGTGGGACTCTGATCTGGGCCCAGGCTTCTTGTACTGCCCCCGGCTTTGCCATGGCCCAATCACTGCCCTTGCCTCTTCTGGGGGGAGAGGGCTACACCACGTGTACATATCAAGCGACAAGGACGAGTCATTTTGACTGGGGTCCTTCCAGCTCTTCAGAAACTACATGTTGGACCCAGACCAAAGAACTGGAATGAGAGACATGGTCAGGGCCATCATCTCAGACCTGAATTCCAGGTCATAGCTCTCCCCGGAGAGCCAGAAACTTGAAGCAATTGCACAGTGGTTTCAGGGCACGTTTGACAGGAGATGCCAGTCACTCCCAATTTCACAGTCCAGGGCTGTCTATGAATCTGCTCAGCATCCTAGGAATGTCAGGTTTCCTCCGGGCACCTTTTCTTGGAAATGACAGGTGTAAGAGCGTGTTACTTTTTCTCTCAGCTAACTCATCACAACAGAAAGAAAATCATGGAGGGAAAGTAGGAAGAAAAAGACCATGTTGTGAAATAGGGGAAGTTCAGAGTCAGGAGTAGACACAGTTCAAAAGAACCAAGGTGTTTTCTCTTGGGTCCTGAATCATCTTTCCGCGCCTGAAACAGCCCAGACGCTGGATGGCGAATGGCATCAAGAAAACTTCAGGCAGCAAAATGCAACTATATAAATACCAGAGAACCAATAAAGTGGGACGAGAGCAACTTAAAAATTGATTTGGCTCTGCTAAAGCAATTCTAATTAGAGTCATTCATATAAGCTGTTTACCATCTATGCCTAATGGCCATGCCGGGCATTAATTCTATAATACTGTTAAATGTGTTATATTAATTTTGCTCTAAGTTTTACTTGATTAACTTAATATTCTTGATGTTTTTCCATGCTCACATGACAGTTTGCTTGTCGTGAATTAACTCATTTTACAACCATTATGAGATAAATGAAGTGAAAGCAGACAGTCTCCAATTAGTACCCAGGGCTAGCCCTCCTTTGCATAGTACCCAGGGCTAGCCCTCCTTTGCATAGTACCCAATGTTAGCTCTCCTTTGCAAAAGCTGGCTCTATTGCAAAGAAGTCCTGGGACCTTAAGGGGCACCAGTGATGCTGGATCCATTCAGACCACTCTGAGGACTTAAGTCTCCTGGCAGATTTCTGCATGCCTGATGACAGCATGACCCTCCTAGGTCAGAACACAGCAAGTCCCAGGGAATGGGAACATGAAGGTGCTCCTAAGCCTGCTTGTCTCCTCAGTATGTCCTTGAGCAGGTGCTCCGGAGTCCTCCATTTCAAGTGGCCCCTGCCCTAACATTCTTTCTAGCACTGCCAGGATGGACCAAGGAGAAAGTGAATGCAAACAGCATCCAGGACCACAATGCCCTTATAAACACGTGGAATCATTTATTCTTGTAATCAGGATCAGGAATCATGGGACAAGGAGAGGAGGAAGAGCTTCCTTTTATGGATGAAGGGGTTGGGTTTGGAAGAGCATCGGAAGATGAAGAAAAGGCTTAGCTGCTCAAAGCTCCCATCAGTAGAGTCCATCAGCGGCGTCTCCGGGGCTGCAGAGCTACAGTGTGTGCATCTCTGGGAGCTCCACAGTAGCTGTGAGTGCTGAAATGGCCAGAGACACCCCCCCCCCCGAAAAGTCTGCACATGCGTCGAGCAGCAGCCCAGCCAGGCATGCCATATTCTGCAGGCAGAGTAAAGAGGTGACCTGTGGCGTCTGCTGATTCTGTATATCCCTGTCACTGTGATTTCAAACTCACTGCTACTGCACATAGCACATACAAACACAGGCTTTGAAGTGTTCTCTGAGAGGATCCACCTGTCTTTCCATCCTCACTGACTGACAAATTGTTGGGTCTCCTCGGATACCTTGAGCCTTTGTTTGACCATTTTACATGGGATTGTAGGTAGTCCTGATCTTTGTGGGTTTCACTGGGGGCTCAGACAGTCTGTTAAGTTGTGAATACTCAGACCTTTCCATTAACCATAATATAATAATATATTAACCTCCTGGACTCAAGAGGTTAATGCCAAACACCTGCAACAGCCCACTTTACACTTTGGATATCAAACTCAGATGCCAACAGACCATAGCAAAGGAATAGAAGATTCCAATGAATTGGAAAATTCCACTTCTTATTGGTATTAAAATCATTTCCATGGGGTTACAGAGATGACCTAGCAGTTAAGAGCATTGCCCTAATACCATACGGTTCACAACAGCCTGTAACACAAGTTCCAGGGGATCCAATTCTAGGGTATCTGTGTGAATGTGAATGTGTGTGCACATATACCATTAAGTAAAAATAACAAATCTTTAAAAGGTAACTCGTGCTGCTACTCATACCAAGTTATTTACACTGTTTACACTTTCTGTGACTGGGGACTGGCCATCTTTCTGAGCAGTCCTGTGTTCTTTGAAATATTATGAGTCATGGAAATCTGTGTTCCTATGGCCATGCCACTCTACATAAAAGCTCTACGAATTTGAGAACAGCTTCAAGTTCAAGAGGATGTCTTGGGTCAGTACACACCTTTCTCTTCCTTTTGCCTTGTTTTACATAGAATCTCATTTGTAAGCCTCGGGCCCCCAGGCCTCTTTGAACAGACTTAATCAGGCCACTGGAACCCCAAATTCCAGTGCCTGAGTGTGTTATGTACAGAGCAGCGCTGACTATTGCCTCTCTTGCTCTAGAAGGCTTGGGTATCTATCTGTTCATGCAGCAGAAAATCTGTGTGAGCTTTGCTTGGCAGCCACATGACAATTGATGGGTTTTGTCAGTTAAAACTTCCAAACCCTATGTGATGTTTTCCCTTTAAAGTCAGTGTTGTTAAATTCTGACTCCCCAGTCTCTGCCTCTGTGGTTTGGACACAGAATACCCAAGTGTCACTCTGTTAGATGCCATGTTTATTGACATTATGTTAATGGATCCCACTTGGCTGTCCAGTGTCCTCAATGACCTCTGTGTTTTATTGACATTTCACATTTAGCCTCTGCTGAGAATATAAGCTAAATTAACCATGATGCTTATTTTAATGACTTAGTTTATCAGAGAGCTGTTTTAATAATTAAATTTGTTTCTTTGATGACTTCATGTATGAATGTAATGCATTGGTTACTCTCACCTCCTCCCTGTTAGCTCCCTCCCACCCCTATCAAGCTTTTGTGGGTTGTTTATTTATTCTCTCTCTCTCTCTCTCTCTCTCTCTCTCTCTCTCTCGCTCTCTCTCTCTGTGGGGGGGGGGTGGGAGGAGGAGGCAGGGAACATGGGAATTGAACCCAGGTTTTTGCATATCATGCCTAAGTACTTACTACCAAGCTATACCCTAACCCCAAAAGAATGTTTCTTAAAGATATACCAACTTTTTGTTTCTTGTTTTATACTATTACAGTAAAATAGTCCAGAATATATCAGGAAAGTGTTTATGGTTTGGAATCTATTAACCTTTTGTTTGTAGCCAAAAAGTTGTTAATTTTTATAACTTCCGTGAGAAGAATACATATTCTCTTTTGAAGGTGCATGATTCTACGTTTTATTCTTCAGCTTGCTGCTAGATGGTTTGAAATGCTTCCCGCCTTTTAATGCTTGCCTTTAATGCATTTTTGCCTGACTAGTGTGTCAAATCTGAGGTGTTTCTTGCCTTTGAAAAGTCTATTTTTTAATCTAATTATGTTTTTTTCTGCAGGTTTCTCCTTGTATATATTACTTGGTGCATTAAGGTTTATATATTTAGAATTTCAGGGGGGAGTACTTGCATGTGTGCATGTGGGTATGCGTGTGTGTGTGTGTGTGTGTGTGTGTGTGTGTGTGTGTTTGGTTTGAGACAGTGTCTTGCTCTGTAGCCCAGGCTGGCCTCACATTCAGGGCTATCCTCCTACTTTAGCCTCTCAAGTTCTAAGTCTTCTTTCTGGGTGGAATTTTATATTGCTATAAAGTAGA